GAATCGTTGGTAGACAATATCGAGACTTGAATAGAGGTCAATCACCTTGAAAACGCAAAGGGAAAATGTTATATGCAAATGCAGACAGCCATATCTCAGAGCCTACTGCACCGATCGCTGTAAAACCTTCACCATTGGACGCGCCATACCTGATTTCCTGTTGCAGGTCCAAGTTTGGTGACCGTAGGTCAGGTCAAAAATCGTCAAATTTTACGAAGTCCAAAATTATTGCCTGCAGACAACTCGTTCAGGAACTATTGCTCCGATCATCTCAAAACCTCCACTATTTGATGGGACGCGCCCAGCAAGCGCAATGCGTGTCATGAAGCCAATCGTCATTGTAGTTCGAAGTACCAAGGCGCTCGGGCATTTTTATCATCATTTTTTGCGGCCATGCACATTACTGCGATAACATTTATACATATTTTGTGCGCTTATGCAAGGGCACCGTCTTTTTTTTGGTGAGCAGACAAATTACACTGTACAAGAGGAATTGGCAGCTGTGATCGTCGAATTAAGCATTGGCGCGGCGGCGCACAACACGCACAGTGAAGCTTAAGGCTCTCGTTGACAAAAGCAGTGGCGTATTTTCCGTCAGTTTTGTCCCCGTTTGCCTCTTGGACTTGTACCTCCGCGACAAACTATACACAGAGCGCAGAAAGCATGTTCCCAAGATGGATTTTGAGGTTATTGATCTGTCACAGCAAGACACTGACCAAGCTGGTCCATTTCGACCCAGGCCTAGCTCGATTAGGCGGACTTCTGGACGTTTTGGAACCAGCAACCAACAAAAGACTGTTCAGGTGCGAAGTCACGAGGAAACGGTATTCGCAAACCACACGCAAAGGGGCTGTTCCACCTTTATATGGGGGTTTCAACTGAAGTAGCCATCTTGAGGACCTTTTGATGCAGTTCACGGCCATGCCCTTTTTAAGACCCAAAGCCCTCTGGTTCCTGAGTTACACGCCCTCAAAAGGGGGAAAAGGTTTATTTGGAGACTATTTCAAAGTCATCTTGGCAGTGGCGTCGTCATAGAAACATCATACGATCGTCCAGGCTGCTTTCTGCTTATGGTCAAAACAGCATGGCCGCTGATACATTCGCAAAAACAATGATGCAGCACATATGATACAATCCGCGGAGGGTGATTGGCTGTTAGTAAGGTTTCGCTGCGGAATGTGTGTCACGAACATAAACGTGAGCACTTCCGAATTATGCGGCGCTCGTCGTGAACGGGGCATGTTTCTTTGTTTCCAGCACATAGGGCAATGCTTTAAAAAGGGCACCACTGTCTGCAAAAAAGTGGGGCACCGAAAGGAAACAGCACTCTGCCGGATATTATTAAAAGGAAGACGCGACGGCAAGTCTGTCTGTTTTCACCTGCTAGTGTCTTTTTTCTTATTGTACTGAAGTAGTTTTTACAGAGAGATCGGTTGGCGCATTGTGTACGGGAGCTAAGAAACTTGGGCGGATTTATGGGTTAGCAAGGCATTATAAAATTTCAGGAATATTTTAATAACTCTATATGTATATTTTAATAAGTATCTAATACATATTGTGACAAATTTAAATCTTGAGGAAAACAAATGGTTTCCTACAAGTAAAACCATTTGGGTTGCATTACCATGAACTCCCGTTGATACCATGTTTTGGATGAACCTCACGTTGAAATGCGGTGTTATAACCGAAAACCCGTGCAGAACTTGTGAGATAATCTGCAATTGGATAATCAAGCAGCCTGTGCAAGTGTGGGGCCACACTTATTTGACATTAGAATGTGGATCAGGCGCTTGAAATTGGGGTGATCACTGGTGGTGCGTGCCAATGGCTTGTATTGATCTTGATGTGATGGGGAGTGTGCGTGCGAGGTTTGTACTCCTGAGAGAGAACATTGTTTCGCTATTCTTTAAGTCTAAAGGTTCCCAGTAAAACGTGATATATCGGTATCTGCCTACATCTTTATGTTTACGTTTGAACATGACAAAGCAGTGATGCCAGCAAACCGAAAAAACACCAGCACGTCCTATGCTGCAGGTGTGTACAAGGACAATTTTCTACTTTGTTATGATCTTGCCAACATTTTGAACCTATTCATTCGTTACAGCATGTAATTAGTCCAATGCACGCCATTATATTAGCAATTCATTTGGGCAGTACGGGCATGTCTGCGCAGCTCATTAAGGCACATGCTTGTTATATGCTCGCACGATGCGGCTTTGGAAAATTGTCTTTCCTTTAAGAATTCTGAAAATGTAGTGCTGTGTTATTATGGATGTACATACTACTGTCTTAACAAATGTTACATGCCGACAAGCATTGACTGTGAGTCATTAATGTCACAGTCACTGCCGCTTGTGTGAAATACAGGGTGCTGGAAAAGTTGGAAAAGTATTCGCGTTGGTTTCTTGGATAGCACTTAACGATATTGTTTTCATGAGCCTTGTGTGCGCTGGCAGCTTCGCCACTTCCCTGCATTTCGCACATCTAACCATAACTACACACACTTGTCATGTCTCCAGTCGTGTGCAAGCTCAGCAGGTTTGCAGTGCCATTTCACTACATGTAATATTTTTTGTTATGCATGTGTTATTGCCTGTGTGAACAATATTTTTGAGCGGAGCAGCCTGATGGCTACAGCATGCCGCATGGCTGAGTAAGCAGAAGACATGTTTGCATCTTTGTCATCTATGTTTTGTGGATTCCCAAAACAGGCCGAGCAAGCGATGTCACTTATTGGTTGTGTGCTCTGCTGAAAGCGATTTGTATCTTGTGCAGTGTGTTTTTGGCCGGTCATATTGCAGATGCGGAGTCAATACAAGAACGCGCGCTTGACCCATCTGCACATGATAGAATTCATTACGAAAGCAGCAGGCATTGCAGTACAAAAACCGTATCATTGTTCATTATGCCACGCCACAGTACAGCACTGAGTTAGTGGCACAATGCCACTGCTGGCCCGTGGCATTACACAATGTACCACATGGGTTGACTACACTATGTAAAGCGTTTGAGATCACAGTTAATAATTTATTATTGAATGGTAGCAGGTGATTTAACACTGCCAAAGGACTACCACCAGCCAGAATGCCATTGCACCAGAAAAATTACACCAGGGTTAGCTAGTGATTATATGAACAATCCTGAGGAAGAAAAACATTTTTGGTAACTAAACCTTGCCATCTTTACCATAGCAAAAGCAGAACTTTGGCAATCAATTCTTGAAAATGTCACAAATTGTTTTATTATTTTTTGCATGTGACTGCATTTCAAGTTACAAAGTGATAAAGAAAATAACTACTGTGCACATCAAAATATATCAATAGTCGTTACTAGAGCACTGCAGGCAAGCGTAGGTCGACAATACAATATTGACATCCTCAGCAGACCTTGCAGGTTTCGGTAAGAGGTTCATGACACTATATGAAAGTTTTCACAACATATCGTACTTTAATATTACCAATCTGCCATAAAAGCTGGCGATCGCTACGCTGCGTTTGTCTGACAGTCCGCCAAAGCTTTTCCTACGACCAGTACCAAGACAAAAAAATCCACAAGTAAGCCATTCACTAATCCGCCATCAGACACAGCACCCACGACGAGAATGGCTGGCTGACATCAGCTTCCGTGCGTTTCGAGGTATTCTTTGCGTCGACTTTGTGAACGGTAAGAGGCGCGTCGTTTACCGTTCGCCATGTTCTTCGCTTATGTTCAGAGTTCACTGAACAGCAGTTTCTTCGTTACGAACAAGATGCATACTTATCCAGCTGTGACAGTATGGTAGCGGTTCTCGCTTGCTTCCAACTAGTCAGCATTCTTCATGCTTAAGAGGCATGTTGGGTAGTAAGTTCTTGGCACACCCCATTTCTCATCAACACTGTAATTGGCGCAAAATGGTCACAGCTCTTGTCGCGCCATACAACTTGAAGTATCATCTTACTGGTTTCAGCAGATTGCCACGACGATGATTCTAGCTGGCTGTAGTGCTGCCAACTTCCCCAACATTTTCTGCCAGAATTTTTGCTAAAAATTTCGATTTTTCGTCACAACTAATAAACGACCACACTGAGCTGTCGCTGACAGACAGCTCCCCAGGCGCTTCTCTGTTAACACCTGAGCTGACGCCTAATGTTGGTTTTGCACCTGCTCAGTAAGGCAGTGTTGACAAGTACCTGCTTATAGCTACTCGTGTTAGGGAATAATTGTTTGTAGATGTGAGTAGCATAGGTTGCTTTAAGATGATGGTGAAGAGATGCGCTCATTAGTGATGTCGATGGATACTGGCACAGCCATGATCGACTGGCCCGTTGCTTAAAGGTGGTGTTTACAGACACTTGCCGAGAGATAGTGTTGGAAGGCAGCCGCCCCGAGATAGTGTTGACAACAGCTGCCCAGAAATAGTGTTGACAGACAGCTGCCCAGAGATATGGTTTAGAGACAGCTGCCCAAAACTAGTGTTTATAGACAACTGCCTGTATATGCCAAGATGCATATGCCAACTGTCCGTATATGCTGTTTAAATAAGCTATTTATGGACAGGTGCCCAGAGATGTTTTTCACACACAGCTGTCCCAAGATGCTGTTGACAGTCAATGCCCAGCGAAATGTTATCAGCCACCTGCCCGGTGACAGTGGTGACATATAGCTGCCCAGGGATGGTGGTGACATACAGCCGCATATGCACAGTGATGACATACCGCTGTCTAGGGACGGTGATGACATGCAGCTGCCCAGACATGGTATTGACAGATGACCCATAGGTGGTGGCGAGCGACAGATGCTCAGATGCGGTAGCGACCGACGGATGTCCGGAGACGGTTGTGACGGATAGATACTGGTTGCTGATGGTGCCCTGAGTTTTTTCTCAACGTCGTCAACCTGGTGACTCGTGCTGATCGGAAAGCCTGGGCCACCTTACTGGCGACGGTGACGAGACTGCGTTCTATGCCGCGCGGTGCGCGAAACAGGGCTCTCCCAGCTGACCTCTCTTCTTTGACCCGCAGGTGATGGTGCCCTTCAGGACCAAAGCGTCCTCGAGGACCCTGTTATACTCTGCGGCTGCCATCTCACTTGTGGGTGGGCTATTATTCATCTATGGGAAAGGCATTGATTCGCCCATGATGCCGATAGCAGGTTGGTTTTTCACTTTCACGAATCGCGTTCGTGGCACTTGGCGGCATTTAGCCTTGAGCAATCCATAGCAGATGTACCTTGTTTTAAGCTGAGTTCTTTTCACGCACATTATGTCATCAGCTTGGTGTGTTTGAATGTCACTCTTTGCTCCTCATTGAATCGTTCTGAATGCTCATAAAGTGTCCTGTTGTCTTCGAGGTCGTACTGCACAGCTGTTTGCAGCTTTTTCAGAACTAAAAAGCAAACGCAAAGTCAAGCATTGTTTTTTCTTCAAAAATGGTGGCGCGGTAAATAGGTACCTTGGTCAGCTTCTGAGTTTTGAGGAGTTTCTATCTGTAAGTTTTCAGTGCAATTGCAAGGAGCATAACGCATGCATGAGGCAGTGCTGATGGCGTATTTGCCTGCGGTGTGAATATTGTGTGGGGAAGGGAGACAGGAATTGATAAGGGGAAAAACGAAGTTTTATGGGAGGAGACATGAAAGGAATGAACTGATATTGTGCCTGACAGAAATCTAGTGGTATCATTCATTGGCCCGGAGAAAGGTCGATGGATTTCTGGTCAACTAACTTGATGAAAAGTGGGTTAGGGCGAGGCGGGTTATTATTTCAGCTACAAGCCTCCACTCAAACAATTATTTTGTAGTTGTTACACACACACACACACACACACACACGCACGCACGCACGCACGCACGCACGCACATGTATTTATATGCAATCCGACAGTTTGACATCATTATAATCCAACCATCAATCCATCAATTCCATCAGGGCCGTCTCATTTTGAAATATACATAAAGCACTACTTCAACAGATCATGCACGTAAAAAGGATCGCCAGATAATTTCACGAGAAAGTATTGTTTATCTTCGGGCCCACCATCAATTTCTTCTTTTCCTGTTTTTTTCCCCTCACAGGATGTTTACACCGCTGGCAAATGCACCGTTGATAAAGCAATCGCATAAACACATGCACGTGAGCGACTTGATCGGTTCACCGTGAAGGAGCAAACCGGTAGTAGTGTAGCGTTGTAGTTATCATGTAATGGTGTGAAATGGTTTCGTTATCAGTGTTCAGAGGGATTTCATGATGTTGAAGGTCCGTATTTTGCTCCGATTTTCTAAGAACTGACTTTAAGCTGTGCCACATCCTAACATGCGCGCAGTGTTTTTATGCGTAACATGTTAGGGCTGGTCGCGTGGGAGGTTGTTGAATTTTCGCTGATCAGAGTGTTCTTGGGAATGGTTTCGATGAAACAAACATTGGAAATTCTTTCTGTTCTGAATTATATGGCACGAGCGAAGACTATTTACTGTAACACACATTCGTTGCACAACGTACATTAACTGCGACTTATGTTCTGTGTAAGACCCTGATGTGCTTTCTTTAATTCGGCAGTGCAACTTAATGTCCACTCTGACAGCAGGGGATTCCGATGTTGTCCAAGTCGTGTCAAATCAGGAAGAACGCCATATGACTATGAAACTTGCCTGTGATGCTACCAAGTCTCTGCGGCCTGACGAAGAACTTGAATATCTCATCCAACATTCCAAGTTTCTAGATCACATAATCGTCAACGAAGATCACAAACTACTCTACTGTTACATTCCGAAGGTAAGATGGTTGTGATCTAGAGATTGTCTGTACTTGTGCGTATGTTTTAAAAGTGGGTTTCCCGTGGAGGGCTTCTGGGCTCATTACGAAGTGTTATCTTTCCGAGGTAAACGAAGCATACTGGCATATGCCGACTTCTTACGTAGCATTTGGAATCCCATGTTGTTACAGGTGGCACGAGATACCTTCACTATACTCAGTTGGCACAGAAATAATGATTCCACTGCCCGTTTGATTTCTTGAGCCGCTCCAAAACATTAAAAGCTCTCGCTGAAGCACTCATTAATCCGGAGGACCGCCGCACCTCAAATCAGCCACGGATCGTGATGTCAAGAGATGAGGATCCCCAAAACAACATTTCCACGTCAGCTTTAGAGAACAGCCTTGTAATTACGATTTCGAAAACCAGGTTTTCAACCGAAACAGCTTGCGAACAAGCAAAGATTGCCACTTTTGCCTAATACTTGGTCGGCTTTAGTGCGATGTGCTGAATTGTCGCCGCATTAAACGCACTGTTCCACATTTCAAAATATAGAGGTAAGCAGCGGGTATGTTGGAAAAAAACGTTGGTAAATATTAGTCAGCCTTGCAGTGCAAAATATCGCTCTAAACAGCCAAATTACGCCGTTTAGTATGCATCCTTCTTATTGCCATCTTTTGATGATGTCGGGGAGCGTTTTTATGACGTCAAAGTTGCAGCCAGACTGGCCGTTTTAGAGTTGCCACTCCAGCGAACAGCGCGACTCACTTGTAGTACTACTACGGGCTGCCAGGCGGTGTGGTGGTGGTGTATGCATGTAAATTCATTGTACTGGCATTATACATATATATATATATATATATATATATATATATATATATATATATATATATGTGTGTGGGTGTGGGTGTGGGTGTGGGTGTGGGTGTGGGTGTGTGTGGGTGTGGGTGTGGGTGTGGGTGTGGGTGTGGGTGTGGGTGTGGTGTGGGTGTGGGTGTGGGTGTGGGTGTGGGTGTGGGTGTGGGTGTGTGTGTGTGGTGTGCGTGCGTGCGTGCGTGCGTGTGCGTGCGTGCGTGCGTGCGTGCGTGCGTGCGTGCGTGCGTGCGTGCGTGCGTGCGTGCGTGCGTGTTTGAGTGTGTTGGCTTTTGCTCTCAGAGTTTTTGCACATTCGTCCGTGATGACACGTTAAAGACATAAAGACCGACAAAGAGTCACCAGGGCCCATCGAGGTTGGTCTACCCCAGGTTTCGCACCCAACCTTGACATTAATCTTTACATCTGGCCTGCCTGAATTTAGCTAGAAATGAGATCCTTAGACCGATAGAGCTTTCAAGTCAAGTTTCACCTGGTTTTCATTTCCTAACAAGCCTATCAATTTAAGATCGTCTGCAAACTTAAGCATGTTGCATTTTAATTCTACCTCAATGCTATTCACAAAAATGCTGACGGGCAAAGGGACCAACACCGACACCTGTGGAATGCCACTCTCTACTAGCTCTCACTGATATTTAGCATCATTTAGCAATAATCTTTGCTTACCGTCTTGTAGCCAAGCCCCTAACCAGCCAATAATTTTTGCCCTCGATACCACTCAATGTAACTGTTATAAGAGACGTTGGTGTGGCAGCTTATCAAAGACCTGACTAAAATATAGATAAACAGCATATACTATTGCTTTTATCTACCCGACTAGAAACATGCTCCATGGACTCCAGAAGATTTGTCAAACAGGACATATCAGAGAGGAAACCATGCTGACTAGTATTTGGCAACTGATGCCTATCTAAGTGTAACTGAATGCTAGCTTTAATGAATTCCTCTAATGTTTTTTTTTCTTTCTAGATTTTAGTGAGGTAAGACTGACAGGCCTGTAGTTGCAGACGCTCTTAAATATAGACACTCTTGCTCCCCTTCTTAAATATTGGTACTGCATTGGCATTGCGCCAGTCCTCGGGTGCTTCTGAGAAACTGAATGACCTAGTTAAATATGAGCATAAGAGCATAAGCTAAGC